TAACGGCCGGTTCCTCCCCGGCGCAGGGCTGCTTTACCCGGACTAACTGGCTGTCACCGGAGACTGAAGCTGCCGCATTGCAACAGGCAGAGCCGCCGCAGCTGAGCGGTGCTGGAGGAAGAGGAGGAGGAGGAAGAGGGCAGGTATCCGGACTGTGCGTCCTGCATGGGCAGCTGGACTCAGACACTCGAAGAAGGAACAGCGGGAGAGCGGATCAGAGATGTCCCGGAGAAAGCAGGCCAAGCCGCGCTCCGTTAAAGGTAAGGAGCTGGTCTTTGCTCCACCTGTCTGACCGGAAACTGCTCGTTAATTAAGAACCACATCATCCAGAGGCGGATTATTGTGGCTGTTTTGGGATTTTTGACACCAGTTGTGGGTCTCCTCGTGAATCTAATACAGATTAAACAAACACTTTTAATCCAGATGAGACCAAAACGAGCGGAAAATGCTCCTTTAGAGGAGACCTTCCACAATAAGAGCAACACTTTAAAACGTTAGTTTTCTTGGTAGACACCATCTGAGCTCAGTTATTTTACTGTTCTACTTGAAAAATCTAATTTAAAAAAAAAAATTTAAACTATTTTTTAATAAAATGATTGATCCGTTTCTGGGTTTTAGTGCAGGGAAAGGCTGGGGTTGGGGGCATGGGGGTCCTGGGTTAAGACTCAGACGTGGTCTTCCCCCTTCCCCCATTTCCTTGATCCCAGATCTTTTCGTTTCTCGTGACCTTCAAGGACGCACAGACCTGTGAGAAGAATTTGTGTTGCTGGACCAGAATGTGCACCTGAAGAACTGACCCAAGCCTGCCAGGCCTGGGGGGCAGGGTTTTGACTCAAACCCATCCGGTCTGAGGCAGGACCTGTTCACTTGAACAACTTTCAGTAAAAGTCCAGTAAAAACATGCACTTTATAAAGAAGAGATTTAAGGTTTAACACAGTTTGATGGGTCGGACCAGGGACGAGAGCGAAACATCACGATCCCACTCTTTGCATCAAACCTTGTTTCGTTGAAAACAAAAAGTCCCGTCTAATAAAAAACACAAACACTTTGTGCTGGTTTCTACCGGTGTGTTCGTTTAAACCGTAAACTCCGCTCTGCTGCTGCTCCATGTTTCTGAATGGGTTTGAGACACAGAGAGGCCAGGAGAACCAGGGCCCGTCAAGTCCGAGAGGCCAGGAAAACCATAATCCGTGTAGTCTGAAAGGCCAGGAGATCTAGAGACGGCCAGGTTTCTGCAGCCTGGATAATCGAAGGTTTAGTGGTGCAGCAAGGTGAAGCCGAGCGAAGCGTTGCTCTGTGTGTTTGAGGTGTTTTCTGTACTCGCTCATTGGTGTACGCGTGTGCGTCGCCATCATCTGTCTACACCTTGCCCCTCTGACGGGGGTGGGGGTAGTTGAAGGACCAGGCTGAGGCGAGGGTCACCCGGGGAATATTTGAGTTTTCACCTGCTGCCCCAGCTCTGCTGCTGCCTGGCCCTCGGCTCAGTCGGGCGTACGGAAACCACGACAAAGATCCACAACGTCCCACCTCCAGGTTTCTGCTGGAGATCTGCGACCTGCAGTTATTATTATTTTTTTTTAATTTAGTCCACACACTTATGGGAAAGGTTTTATGATGTAGTCCCTCGATTATCGCGGGGGTGTCACATTCCAGACACCACCGCGATAGGTGAAAAAACGGCAAACGTTTTAT